AACAACCCTCAGTTCTTCCTCTGTGTCTCTGAGACTATCTCCATCCACTTCTCCCATCCATTCAGTTCCTTAGAATCCACGTATAAGTGAGATCAATAAGATCATGCAACCAATCAGTTTTAAAGCCAAAATATTTCAGCTCCTATTCTTGCTCTTTCCCTCCCAAATGTCTTGTCTCCCTATAAAGTTTGTTGTGTTCCACAGTCATGGACTGTGTAGTTAGTGAAAAAACATAGGTTGTCAATAGCTAAGAGCTGCAGGACAGAAAAATATGGCTGCCTCAGAAGGCCATTGCTGCTGGTGGGGAGTGCAAAACTCATTCTCTGTCCATGCATTAGTACCACAAACACAAAATGTATAATTTGTTGGACAAATCTGCATACTTATGTGAATTTCACAAACAGCTCTTTATTGCCACCACCTGTTCCCTTTCTGTCACATGCAGTAATTGTTGATATCCTTGACAATATTGTTGGGGTTTTTTTTAGCTTTCTGTAAAACTCTGTGGGTATTGGTCTTATGAAGACTTGCAGCACGAAACATCCCTGCTTTTGAGCTCATCCATTTTCTTTTCTCTGTGGACAGATGCAGAAATAGAAGCGGTAACAAAGCTCAGTTGCTTTACTAAAGTTTTGGGTTGCGTGATTTTAAACTTGGGACAAAGAGGAGACAGGAAGAATTTTATTGAATAAAACTGTTTATTCCCTTTCCAGTATACAGCTGATTAACAAATGGTTGCACAGCTGTTTGCAATAACATCGAAGATAGGCCTTTCTTTTGATCTTTGTTATGTGTTTTTTTGTGTGTGTTCTCACAGAGTTGTTTCCAAAAACTTTGTCATATGCCTGAAGGTTACACCAACAGAGAAGCATTTCAGAAATGAGTTGAGCTGTTCATGTGTGTGTACGAGCATGTGACTGGTGTGTTTGTGTGGTCTCTGCACACACATAGGCAAATGATTCACACATCTCTTTTCATGAAGGATTTCAGGTAGCACAGGATGTCATTCTGGGGAAAAAGCCACATCAGATTACAATCAGTTAATAGGTCAGACGCTACCTAATGCTCTCTTCAGCTTAGATTTCTTGAAATCTTACAAATTGAAGGAGGTGAGATCCTGGGACTTCTAATTTACGCTATGGCAGAATTATTCCTTTGTGCTGAAGGCATGTGAGGAAAAAGATCTCGCTGGGAAAGGCAAGCTTTTAGAAGAGTTTACTGTGTAATTCATAGAGAAAAAAAAAATCTGTGATATTTTGTACTTGACCACTAAAACTTTTTAAAGGAATTCTTTATTAAAATTAGAAGTGCAGGAATTAAAATGCACAGGTAAGGCATGGCTGGCTTCCTGTGTTGCTGATTTGGTTTCTGTCTGAGGTCTATTTGTACAGGTCAAATATTCTTTTTTTCTCCAGTAAGACTGGCCTATGCTTGCTTAATGGCGTGCCCTAATTGAGCCAACCACATTCTATAGGGGAGGAGCCAGGACAGAAATAGCTAGGATTTACTGTTGTGAACAAGGTCATTGCTAAGAGCCTCAAGTCAGGTATACCCCACTTCTTATTTAGGTTGAAACAACGTAAAAACACTAAGCTTCAAGAAATTGCGATTAGTTATCTGTGAGAAGGCTCTTTTTACTTTCCTTGTTGAAAGCCACTGATACAAATCAACTAGTCATCCTAACAAGAAGACAAGCGTATTGTTTTATGTGATTATAATCCATTCTTGTCCCATTATACCATGATGTAGATATCTTTAGATGAATAGAACTATGTTGAGAAATTTTCTAAGAAAATGCTGAGTTCGCCACACTTCCCTCTCAAATGTGTACTTTCGGTTCAATAAACTTCCTGTGCTTTCCTGCATCTGTCTGGCTCTTAAAGTAAAGAAGGGGGGGTGGGGGGTGGGGGGGAGAGAGAGAGAGAGAGAGAAAGGAAGGGAGGGAGGGGAGAGAGAAGGAAAGGTGAGGCCTGGAGGCTCCTCTCTAGATACTCAGGAGAATTTGGAGAGGGAGAAAATAGTGGTTAATAGTATGCACTTTTGGTATCAGACCAGAGTATGACTTCTCTAAGCCTCCATTTTTATTTTTTATTTTTTTGTAAAAAAGGATAAAAATAGGTCCTGACTCATGTATGGTATGTATTCACCAGAGTATTTACTAGAGATGTATTAGTTTCCTGTTGTAGTTGTAACAAATTACCAAAAAGTGAGTGGCTTAAACAAAATACCAATTTATCTTATAGTTCTGGTGGTCTGAAGTCCAAAATGCGTCTCTCTAGGCTAAAGTCAATATGTGGGTAGGGCTGTGTTCCTTTCTGGAGGCTCTAGGGAAGGGTTGTTTTTGTTTGTTTGTTTTTTCCTTTTCTAGCTTCTAGAGGCTCCTGGAGGTTTCTAGTTACAGCCCTTGGCTTGTGGCCCCTGCGGTCCTCAAAGCCAGCAATGGCCGGTCAAGTCTTTCCTCACATTGCATCAGCCAGACACTGGTTCTCCCGTCTCCCTCTTGCACTGGGGAGGACCCATATGATTACACTGGGCCCACCAGGATAATTTTCCATCTCAAGGCCAAGCGATTCACAGCCCTCATTCCATCTATACCCTTAATTCCCCTTTTGCCATGTCAGGTAACATAGTCATAGGTTCTGGGGATTAGGACAAAGGCTCTTTTAGAGGTCGTCATTCTGCCTGCTACACCGGAGTACTTGCCACTAAGTAAACACAGAGGAAATGTTAGTTTTGGGTATTCTTAACCCCCATCCCCTGCAAAAAAAAAAAAAAATGAAAAGAAAGAAAACGAAGAAACCCTCTCTGAATGGTTTTGTTGTTTAAATAAGAAGATGCCAACTGACCAGCATCCCAGAAACCAGAGGAGTGTCAAGTCCTCCCCACAATGCTTTTCAACACCTTTTACAAACAGGAGCTTTGGCACGCTGCCTTTAAAGCTGAACAATGAAGAACAGGGTTGTTACGTCTGACCTAAATGCACAGGTGTCTAGCTTTCCTGCTTTCTTCTCTCTCTCCACTTCTTCCTTTCTTGACGATATTTTCTGCTATGGTATCAACTCACCCGCACGTATCTGATGCCCCTAAGGTGGCTTCCTGTCCAGCTTAAAGCACCGAGGACCCAGCCTGAGCTACGCAACTCCCCCCTCACAGGCTACCTGTCTCTGTAAACATCTCCAGAATGCAAATGACCTTTTTTTTTTTTTAATTGGGGAATTGGGGGATGGGAACAGTGCTGGGGAATTGGGGGAAGGGGAACAGACAAGTTGCTGTCGTTTTGTTCTTCAGTCTAGTTGTGGAGGACATTGCTTCACTGGCCCAAGTTGGCACCATCATTGCGCTCTTCCCGGGCGAGGCAGATCAGTCGCCAGCTTCTGGACGGCCGCTGCAAATGACCATTTTTGACTGAAGTCATCGCTTCGGCTTCGCTTCCTCCCTGATGGCTTCAAGGGCAGCACCGCTCTTGCTGTCACACAGATGCGAATATCGGGAGTCACCTGCATACTCGCACTTCCTAACACTATCACGACCCCCTCAAGTAGTCTTCCTCACTGGTGCTATCCAAGTTCAAGCTTGTGGAGCCATTGTCTGGACTATAGGCATAGCCTCTTAACTGTCTCCTGCTTTCCTTACTTCATGGGTTTGTGCCATCACCCCCAGGAAGCCTTGGGTCCCTCCATTCCATCCCTTATGCCTTAAATCACTCCTTCTAGTTTGTATCAAATTAGTCCTTGTCAGCATGCTAAAGGGCTCAGGGAATTATTTTTAAGCACTTACCATATGGCAAACATTGTACTTAGACAGTTTACATATATATCCATTTAATCCTAATTCAGTGCCCTGGCAGGTAGATGTTATTTCTTCTTTTTTACTAGTGAGGCAATTGGGGGATAGAGAGCTTTAGATAATTTAGACAAAGCTGCACAGCAGAGAGAGAATTCAAACTCAGATGTGTCTGATCTCAAAGCCCCTAATTGTACCACAACACTGGAGCACCACCATTTGACTTTGTTTTTAAGGTATCTGTTTCGTGAATGCTCACTGGTGTTCATGTATTTTGGGGGCCAATCTTCCAGGAGTCTAATGGCAAACATGTGGCTTGGTCATCTTGGTAGTTTCTGCGGACAGCTAAGGACTGCTATGTATACTATTTTTTGTCAAAGACCTAGGACTTGTACAACCTCTCTGCCTTTGATGTGGCTTGTAGGGTAACCCAGGGACATTTCTCATATCTAAAAAAAAAAAAGAAGGAAGCTGGTGAGAGAAGGAAGTCATTTGTCCATGGGTAGGTGGCTTTGTGCCACATTAGGTTAGGGCTCTCATGGAGGTACAATAAATAATCCTGGTAAATCTGTTCCTTTTCCAGTAGAGATCAACTCTTAGCACCCAGGGACAAGCCAGGACTTGCTTTTCTTCTTTGATCGAAACACCCACAAAGGCAACAGAAACCAGTTTAGCAACTTTGTAAGTGGGTGTGAAAGGATCCCTGTAAAGAAAGCCTCCTATTGTGCAGTGTGATCGCCTTAGGTTTGCAATGCTCCTGGTTTCTATCCTCCTACTCTGAACTCTAACTGACAACCCAGTGAATTTAGCTCTAGCTGATGCTTTTGAATGCCTGGCATTGATTGGTTTTTAGATTCTAATTTTGATTCTTCTTGAAGGTGACCTTAATCATGAAGTTTACTTTATAGAATGGACTTTGTCCCCCATGACCCCCCCATCGTTTTCTGATGGCTTACTTTCTTGAACAGAGGGGAAAAAAAAAAACCCCTCAAATGAGGTGATCTTAATAATAGGAAGAATGCTCTCTCGGCCTTAAGAAGCTTTACTGCCCATCAAAAAGGACACTAAAGCAAAGATGATACAGAGGAGATCAGTTTGAGCAACTCTTTTTTATTCACATGGTTGCTTTGCTCTTATGTAGATAATGGAACCTGTAGAATTAAAAAAGAAAAAAGAAAAAACCTGTAAGAAATGCACTTCAGGAATATAAGGAAATACCCTTTCAAACTTATTACTTCTTTTACAGGAAGAAAAACGCAAAACAAAATAAACTACTAAATGTGGTTCTTAGACTTTTGTGTAATTGTGAAAGCTAAACATAGCAGAAGAAATAGACCTTAACTTGAGAACTAAAAATGCTGTCTGGAGTCATTATTGGGTCAAAGTCAAAATTGGAATGCAGACAACAGATCATATAAAAGTGTTGTGTCAACGAGAAATTGAGTAAAGTGGAAAACTGCACTGTGTTTATGTAAAAGACTATCCGTATTCATAGGAATACACTTCCGTATTTAAGGGCCATGCTGCGTGTAACTTACCCTCAAATGGCTCAGCAAGTATATACCTTACGTGTGTTTGTAAATATCAGAGAAAGGAAGAGAGACAGAGAGAACAAATGTAAAGCAAATGGGGTAAAATGTTAACAATCACTGAACCTAGGTAAAGAATATATGAGAATACGTCCATCCTAAGCAATATTAATTCACATCTATGAACAAATGATGCTGGAATCTATATTTCCAGCCAAGAAGATTATCAGAAACTCAAGACCCATAAATTCGACTGTTTATTAGACATATCCACTAAGGTCTTCCTGGGTATTTCAAAATCAACCTCTCCACAATTGGTTTTAAAATATCTGCCTTTAAACCTGAGTTTCCTTCAATAGTCTCTGTCTCCCTAGTGCCCTCAGATTAAAATCCAAATCTTCAGCATGACTCACACAGCACGTGAAGGCTTTGGTTTTTGTTTATTTCTTGAATCTCATATCGCTGCTCTCTTTCTGTATCCTAATGTATCTTATCCCGTCTCATACCAAACCGCAGTCACAGTGGACTTCTCCAACCTTTCTCTGGCCCCAGGGCCTTTGCTTATGTTAAGTCTTTCTGCCTTGAGCACTTTGCCGTTCCCAACTACCTTTTTCAACATATAATCCTAGTTGCCTGACTTACGTTCCCTTCAAATTATAACTTAGATGACATTCCACTAGGAAATGCATGACACCCCGAGTCTGATCAAATCAGTAATTACAAGCTAATCTAAAATAAAATAACAATGGAATTGTTTTGAATACATTTTTGAAATTAGCATGGACGCATTCGTTCAGTCAATATAGTTTTCCACACATGCTCATCGAACACCTGTTATATGTCCAGCAACTTCTGATCGGGTCATTGAACAGGTATTTATTGAGCTTCTACAATGTTCCAGGCACTGTTTTGGATGCGGAGACTATAGCAGTAAACGTTCTTAGAGTTTAAATTCTACTGGAGTTGCATATTCACAAACATATAAATGTATAATCTCAGTTCATGATAAATGTCATGAAGGAAAGAACATGGAAGGGGGTGTTCCCTTAGTTACTGTTGTCAGACAAGACCTCGCCAAGGAAGAGGTATAGAACAGGAACCTAAATAAAATGGCAGAGCAAGGTCAGGCCAATAGCTGCAGAAGAACATTCTAAGAAAAGGGGAACTGCAAGTGCAATGGCCTTCGGACAGGAACATGCTTGGTGTTTTCTAAGAACAGCAAGGAGGTCTGTGTGTGTTAAACTCAGTGAGCAAGAGGGTGACGAGGGAAACGAGTTCTTAGGGCCAGATCCTGTGATCCTGAGCAGTGAATCCACTGTCATGTCTAATGTAGCCTGTGTATTGATTTCAGCTGTCCTCGGGATTTTCTACTTGGCCTGAGAACACAAACTGGACTGCATTTTGTGGGGAAGAAGGGATATTGGGGACCAAGAACGGTGCTCCCACTGCCTCTCTAGTTCAAAGATATAGCCCTGAGAAGTAATGAGCCAGAATTGAATAGACCCTAGGGAACTGGGAAGCTGATATCAGAAAGGTAGCAACAGGCGGAGCAAAGCCTGTGTCCCACATGAACTAGAATTCTTAACATCCCAAATCCCTTCCCTCTGCCTCTGCCCATCCCCATTCTTTCCTGACTGTTCCGAATTAATTTAGCCAAAACCTAGTTTCTTGTCCAGCCATTAGATGGTGATGGGGAGCGTACATCTGCTTTTGAACTATAGCAGTGACTTTGTCAGGAAGTACATGCATCATTTATGAAGGAAGGAAGGGAGGAAGGGAGGAAGGAAGGAAAGGAAGGAAGGAAGGAAGGAAGGAAGGAAGGAAGGAAGGAAGGAAGGAAGGAAGGAGAATTCCAGTTTTTACATCAGTTTCCAGCCACATGGTTTAAATAGAAGAAACATATACATTTAATGTGTACATCTTTGTATGATAAAACATGTAAAAACAAAAATAAAAGGTCCTTCTGGTTTCAAAAGGACGGATTTGTTTCCAGGATAGACCTACATGGCAGTAAAATCTTGAATAATTTTCTAAAATGTTACCTATTCTGTTTTGTTTTCTTATTAATCAGAGTCTAATCATTTCATCATTTTTCTCTTTCATTTTCTTCTACTTGATCTTTGTCGTTTCCCCTTCTTAATGTCCATAATCTTAAAAATTGTCTTCCTTTGTTGAAAAAGAAATGTTTTTCTGATGAGCATAATCTTTCAAGTTTGTGAGAAATAAATATAAAATAGTAAGGCTAAAGGGAGAAACTGGAGAGGAAAATCATATGGAAAAGATACAGTATAGATAAGGCACATAATTCATATCCAGGGAAATTTTATAACTAATAATTATAATTTATAAAGAAAAAAGTTAAAAATATACACTATTAGGCAATCTCCAAAGCACCTTGATTGATGTAAATATTTTAATCAAACATTAATTTTAACATAATTCTTTTAGGGTATAATAATTTTCATATACTCTATAACTTATGTGATAACCATTCATTTTCTTCAATAGACTTTATTATAGGTGCTTGAAATCAAGCTTAAAACTAATTTATTATTATGATCTGAGGATTTTTTATTTCTTTTCTGCATCTCTTCTCTCATGACAATTTTGAATTTCCTAAATCAGATAGTTAAGGAAAGCTTTGTTTTGAAGTGTTCACCCTAAAATTTATATGTTATTAACAAGTTGTATTAACATGGCTTATCTTTTTTGAAGTATTTTTTTATTTTTTTCGATTACAGTTGACATACAATATTATCCTAATTTCACATATAAAAAATAGTGATTAGACATTTATATAACTTATGAAGTGATCACCCTGATAAATCCAGTACCCATCTGACACCATTCATAGTTATTACAATACTGACTATATTCCCCCATGCTATACTTTACATCCCCATGACTATTTTGTAACCAGCAATTCGTACCTCTTAATTCCCTTCTAACTTCACCCATCTCTGCAAACCACGCCCCCCCCAAAAAAATCTGGCAGCCATCAAAATGCTCTCTGTATATATGAGTCTGTTTCTGTATTGTTCCTTTATTTGTTTTGTTTTTTAGATTCCACATATAACTGAAATCATATAGCATTTGTCTTTCTCTGTCTGACTTGCTCCACTCAGTACAATACCACCTAGGTCCATCCATGTTGTTGCAGATGGCAAGCCTTCATTCTCTTTTTATGACTAAGTAATATCCTATTGTATATATGTACCACCTCTTATTTATCCAGTCATTCATTGATGGACACCCAGGTTACCTCCGTATCTTGACTATTGCTGCAATGAACATGTGACTACACATGGCCCCTCAAAGTAGCGTTTTGTGTTTCTTCAGATAAATACCCAGAGGTGGGATTACTGGGTCCTTCTTTGTCTCTTGTTTTAAAGTTTATTTTGTCTGGTGTAAGGATTGCTACCCCAGATTTTTTTATTATTATTTCCATTTTCGTGAAATATCTTTTTCCATCCCTTTACTTTTGGTCTGTGTGTGTCTTTTAATCTGAAGTGAGTCTCTTGTAGGCAGCATATGTAAGGGTTTTGTTTTCTTATCCATTCAGCTACTTTATGTTTTTTGTTTGGAGCATTTAATCCATTTGGAGCATTTATCCATTTACAATGAAAGTTAAGTGTTGATAGATATATAGTTATTGCCATTTTATTTTTCATATTTATCTTTTTTCTTCTTCTTAATGAAGTCCCCATAGTATTTCTTACAATACTGGTTATGAACTCCTTTAGCTTTTTCTTATACAGGGAAGCTGTATATCTCTCCTCCAATTTTAAATGATAGCTTTGCTGGGTAATCTTGGTTTTAGGTCCTTGTTCTTTTCATCACTTTGAATATTTTGTGCCAATCCCTCTGGCCTGCAAAGTTTCTGTTGGGAAATCCTCTGACAGTCTTATGGGAGCTACCTT